GGGCCTTCTCTGTGGGAGCTCCCACCCTCTGGAATGAACTACCCCCAGAGATCAGGGTGATCCCTGATCTCCCTTCCTTCCGCCGCGCCCTTAAGACATGGTTATTCCAGCTTGCAGGACTGGCCTAGGGGAAATTTTTAGTGGGGGTTTTAAAATAATTTTAAATTACTTAGACCAATTATTAATATTCGTCTTTTAACCATGTTTTAATCTGTAGTTTGGTATTTTGTATTTTTATCTGGTTGTTAGCCGCCCTGAGTCCGCAAGGAGAAGGGCGGGATATATAAATATAAGCAATAAATAAGTGAAGTGAAGAATTGTCCTGCGAGCTTGGCTATTTACGTAAAATGCAGAGATGAGGTAGTACGAATGTCTCTGTGCACTGGAGAAGCACACATGCTGTGGTTCCTGTGTGTCCAGAATAGAGCAAGGGTAAGCAACCTCGGCTCTTTTATGACTCGTGGACTTCAACTCCCAGAATTCCTGAGTCAGCCCACGAGTCATAAAAGAGCCGAGGTTGCTTACCCCTGCCATAGAGAAACATACTGTAGGAGCCGACCAGGCTGAACTTGAAGGCGGGGTCAAGCACATCATGAGCCTGGCATCTCTAAGAGCCCAAAGTCCAGCCTCTCTTGAAGTCAGTTGACTCTTATCTGCTGCCAATTTTCCCTGACCAGGTAGCCTGTCTATAGGCAGCATGGGATAAACTCATCGTAATTTTCTAAAACTCCATCCTGGTTCCTGATTTCTTGCGCCGGACTTATGCCGCTCTTATGCCCCTCTGTTTCCACTGCCTGCGCCTTTGACAGCAATTACGCCAATTTGCTAAGAGCACTCGACTCCCAAGGATTTACCTTATAGAAGTGGAAGGCAGGAACATCAAATACATCCGTGATGAATGGGAAGCTATCCACTGCCTTGTAGGAGTAAATAATTACTTCAAGGCAGCAGGCCATGAGAGACTTATGAAAGACATCGTGCTCCAAGATGGCCTAGAAAAAAAAGAGGGCAGTTCAGTACAAAAAATCAGATAATTTCTTGCTTGCTAACATTATTGTGTACCTAAATCGCCAAGCATAGATAGATAGTTTTAAAATGCACGTGCAATGCTATCCATCCATTAAGAAATGTTTACAAAGCGGCCTTAAGTGGAAGGGGACAATGAAAAGGCTTAGTAAAATGTCCTGATGACATATTATGGTGTTCTAAACCTTCTGATGATCAGGGTGGAACTTTTCCAAGTTTCTTTTTCTGCATGTTTTTCAGCTGTGGGCTCCTCTGCTTTTATCTGATGGCTCCCTAAGCAGAATCTCTTACCCTCATCTCCATCACAGTTGGTTAAATCACAGTGGCCCTCTTGACACTATCCCTGTCAAATTATTGTGTTCGTTGATTTTTCTGTGGAAAGCAGTGGATAAACTGAAGGCTCAATGCATTAAATTGGTGTAGTTAAGCATCAGATTCTGGACAGTTTTGCATCTTAGCTCAAGTGTTCTATGTTGCATTTTCCTGTAGATTCTTTGTTTAAAGAGAACATTTATGCAAATCACTGGACAATACTTACAGATAAGTCAGCTTCTTCCAGTCTTTTCTTTTCTTGTTTTATGACAGATTCCAAAACCTTATAATAAAGGACCTCAGCGAGACGGAAGTGTTTACCAACAAAATCTGAAATAATTGTGTAATATAAAATAAGCACTGTTTTCCCATAATAAAACAAAACAGAATTGCTATTATACATTATATCTCTTACACACACACACATATATATAGGAAGCTGCCCAGAGTTATTCTTTGGCAAGGTAGGTGGCCAAATTTAATAAATGATAATAAATAATTTATTTAGATGTAAGAATATACCCAGTAAAAATGTTAAACTAAATACTTAGTTTAATACTAAAACTAGAGTCTTTTGGGAACACAAAACATAGCAAAAGTGCTTTTACAGATAGTACATCACGTCCTCACCTTTGGAGAAATTCCCAGACTCTCCACAAAAGGGCGCCTTTTGCAAATAAATTTCATACATTTCTTTCACTCTATTGGCAATCGACAGAGAAGGATCCTTGGAACACGCCCTGTCAATGAAGAAGCGAATAACGTAGATTTGCCATTTTTTGAAAGTAAAATGTCTTCGTGTGCATATAGTTTTATACGGGAGGCTTTTAAAAAGAATGGCATTGTTTTATCCAAGCATTTATCACAAATAGAAACTGAAACCTGTGCTTAGTGTTGAAGGTTTAACTTCATATGATGATGCAGTCTTCACAAATTGATTTTTTTATTATGCACTGAACATCTCTAAAGAATAGGTGCCGCTTTGGGGGGGGGTGTTTAAAAAAAAGCACATGGAATCACAAGGAATTCTTAAAAGAGTTGCCACTTCACCAACTAAAGCCTGAGATATTTCAGCCAGCTGCCCAAATTTGAACCATCCTATAGCCACCAATTTGCGAAGTGCATGGAGGGCGATTCTACCGACCTCAGAATTTGCTCCAGATTCTCACTAGGGGCGTTCTTCAGCCCTGCCAACATTGTGTGAAGCCGTGTCAAGCAGTGGGTCGCGATGGAAATGGGGCTCAAGTAAGGATCGCTATCCTTGATGTATTTCCGGCCAGTAAGAGGCGTAGATATTCTAAAAGATTTTGTCTAATCAAAAGATACAAAGATGAAAGATGTTTCAAGAAAGCTCCTGTAGTTTCAACTAAAATTTGGATTCAGAAAATCACCTACATTTAACTCCAACAAGGCTTATTATCCCTGGTTATGCCTTCTTAGGATTGAAATCTGCCTCTTCTTCTAACCCAATAGCCTCCCTATTAATATATGTATACAGAACAATGCCCCTATAAAATGCACAAGAAAAAAGAAGAAGTCCAGGGTCAGAGCTAAACTACTGGCAGTTTTGGGTAATCTGGGGTGAGATGGGGCACCATGATTGTTTTGAAGAGACACAGCAATTAACTGACAGACCAGTAGCTCTTAATCAGGATATGAGACTGAGAGATACCCTAGGTGAGATACGTGGTAAGTTAAGCTCATTAAACTTTGAGGGGTCTCTTAGCCGTTTTCCTGCAGACATTTCATTACCCAAGTAGGTAACAACAATACGATGATACCTAGTTTGGGTAATGAAACCTCTGCGAGAAAACAACCAATCTCAGAGAGCATCAAGGACTCCTCATTTCAACCCTGAGCTACAAAGATTTTCCTTTATTGGTAATTAAACCTTAAATTTTAATAACCTACGTTTAGAATGTTTGTCAACAGATAAAACATCTTCCTTGGAATAAGTGAGCTTTTTCATTTTGTCCCCCTGGATGGGACCTAGATTCTGTGTTGGATGAAACTTGTAATAAGGCTGAGCAGCACGGAGTTAACTTCAAACCAGACCGTGTTTATACTCACCCGTTCGAAGTGCTCCTGCAGATTGTATTTCATTTGTACCCTTTCGGCTGTTTCCATCTCCGAAGCTGTGTTTAAACATCTCCGCAAGGTTCCGATTTCCTCGTCTGCGTCTTCTCCAAGAAAGATCCTCTCATCTAGATTTCCAACTGACAGGATGTATTCCTCATAGGCCTTGTTGATAGCCTTACTGGAATGAAGAATGGAAGAAAGGCGAGGGCTGATCGAAGTATAAATGTTTGCAAACAATTGCTAAACGTTTTCGTAAGCTTTCATAAAAGCTATGAAACCCAATCTGAATGGCAAGAGACTGAGAGATATAGAAGCTATAGACTAGTGGATCCTTTGTACCCAGAAAATCCTGAAATTACTAGTATCGTTGTTTTATGGTACTTACAAGCTTTCTGTGAAGTTTCCAGGATCCAAAAAACCTGTAAGGTTCTCCTCTTTTCCCTTTAAAATCTACAAAAAAAAAAAAAAAAAAAAAAGGAATTGAAGTTAACCATAAATAATGGAGCTGTAGCGATTCTGAAGATCGGTTAGAATTGTTATCCAATGACATACCTTTTTCTCAAAGAGTTTTTTCACATAGGGCTTCCAAAAATGTTCTTTTATTCCCTTGGCTTCCAAAACCAAGCCATCGTGCAAGGAGCAGAGTTTTTCAATGATGCAAGGGGCTTCAGACGAGAGCTTAAAATCCTTACTGTGAAAATCTTCAGGCAGCCCTTTGTAATGGTTAAGTGGGAAGGGGATGAGAGAAAGTGAAATAAAAACATTTTTCTACCTTCCTAAATGGACAGATGAGAAAGAAAAAGAAAAAACCCCAACCCACAATCAATTTCCTGTTGTATTTAAGATCTGTTGTTCTTTTAAAAATATGAAACGATCTTCCAACAATGGTTGGAAACTGGTCAAGGAGAGAAGCAACCTGGAATTAAGAAGAAACTTCCTGACAATGAGGACAAGCAACCAGTGGAACAGCTTACCCCCAGAAATCATGGGTGCTCCATCGCTGGAAGTTTTTAAAAAGAGACTGGACAATCACCTGTCTGAGATGGTATAGATCCTCCTGCTTGAGCAGGGGGCTGGACTAGAAGACCTCCAAGGTCCCTTTTCTATTCTATTCTATTCTATTCTATTCTATTCTATTCTATTCTATTCTATTCCAGATTCTATTCTATTCTATTCCATTTTCTATTCTATTATATTCTATTTTCTATTCTATTCTCATTAGGTCAATTTTGTTTTCTCTTAGTTACATCTGAATATGAATAATTTTCCTCTATAGCATTCTACGATTTTCTATGATAAACTTTTAATAAATGACTGGATAACGCAAGAAAGCAAATGGGTGAACCCTTTAGCACAATATTTATACACCATTTTGCTGACCACATTTTAAGGTTTAAGTTAATTAAAAATAAATAATAATACTCGGAGAGCAGCATAATAAAAAGGTAATTAAATTTACCCTTAAAACCTAGATTCAGAATCTCCTTACGATTAGGGCACTGCAAAGAATTCCCGTAGACTAGATCAAGGACGCACAGTAAGAGATGGTATGAATTTACCAAATCATCACTGATCATAGGGAAATTGCCTGTGAGAGTCAATATGGAAACAGATTACAGTATTCAGCAGAAATTGATTTTTTAACATCTAAATTAATAAATTTGCATACCACAGATGCACATTTTTTAACAATAACCAGATGAAATCTTAAGAGTGTATGCTTACATAATCAAAATTAAATCAATTCTTTAGTTTGTGGTTTGTTTCAGACCTGCTGTAAAAATATATTAAAATGCTAGGACGAGTATTATGATGTAATGCACAAATATTCAGTTATGCACTGAATATTGATGTATAGAGAGGAGAGCATTAACACGGTAAATTTGAACAAAGCCATATTCTGTAACAATTACTTTCTTTTAGCATCAGAAGCTTCAAATGAAGTCTTTCACTTCTTAAGTGAGCCTATTTCCATTCAAAATAAATAGTCAAACTAGAATATCACATCTATTTAATACTGGTTTCAAATAGCATGTGTTCTAAATTTAGACAAGCTGAAAATAATGATATATTATTTAAAAGGGGGGAACAAGAATACAAAATTAATAGTCAACATAGCTAAAAATTGGCTTATGGGATGTTACTATTTTTCCTACCGTGTGCCTTCACGGGGCAAGGAGGCAAAGCATCTGCAGATTTTCCACGCAGAAAAAGGAACCTGTGATATCTTTCTTTAAGCTAGAAACCCTGTCACTCAAACAAGCCCAAACTTGCCCTTTGAAGTGTGGTTGCTATGATAAAGAGAGCAGAAACCACTTCCCCCAACTAAAAGAAACAGAAACAAATTGAGCCCGTGTGTATCACATTTTGAACTCCTGGGCTTACAAATAGCATAAGTCACTTTTCTCATTTTAAGGCACTGCTTATTTATAAGGTGGGTTTGTGTTGTTTTTGTGTTGTGTTGCGTTAACAGAAAAAAAAGTTAGTTCTATGCTTCTCACTGACAGAAACCTCTACCATAAATTTTTGTGTGGGTGTATGCCTTCAAGTCAGTGCTGACTTCTGTTGTTGTTAGTTGCGAAGTCGTGTCCGACCCATCACGACCCCATGGACAACGTTCCTCCAGGTCTTCCTGTCCTCTATCATCTTCTGGAGTCCATTGAAGCTCACACCTCCTGCCTCAGGGACTCCATCCAGCCACCTCCTTCTCTGTCGTCCCCTTCTTCTCTTGCCCTCCATCTTTCCCAGCATCAGGCTCTTCTCCAGTGAGTCCTTCCTTCTCGTTAGGTGGCCAAAGGACTTGAGTTTCAACTTCAGGATCTGGCCTTCTAAAGAGCAGTCAGCCTTCTTAATATTATTGGGATTTCTGAGAGGAAGGATTTTTCTAACTGTGCATTGATATGTTGGGTTTCACACAATTGGAACATCATATTTTACTGGTAGTAACTTTAACAAAACCTTATTTCACTGTTCCCCCACCCCCAAAGATATTTAAATAAAAGGCTTGAAATTATAAAGAGATGTTTTTAATGCTTAAAACTTCTAGGAAACTGCTTTGCAGCATTATGTGACATGCTTCTTTTCTAATACTTACCGCTACAAACTTGGGAAAAAGTCCGCAGAATATTTATTTTGCATACGAAGGCATGTAAAGTGCAAGTTTGTCAACACAACAATTTGCAACGGGTATAATAAGCCTGTTCTATAAAATCGTAGAAACATTTTATAATGAAGAAATTTCATGCTGATAATAAAAATAAAACCGAAATGCTCGTTTAACACTAAAAGGATCTTTTACTAATTTATCAAATCTATGTATCTGTCCTATTCCAAAAGATGTCTTATACCAGGGGTAGGCAACCTTGGCTCTTTTATGACTCGTGGACTTCAACTCTCAGAATTCCTGAGCCAGCTTGAAGTCCACGAGTCATAAAAAAGCCAAGGTTGCCTACCCCTGTCTCATCCCAATCTTTTTGAAAGCAAGGCAGAAAAATAATGGGCTGGTTGCTACCCTGCATCAGGGCAAATGCATTACTGTTCTTACATTCTGATCAATGAAAAAAAAACATTCTTACCTTTTGCATAAACAAAAAGCACCCAGCAAAACTGGAAAACTTCAGAGACAGTGCAAGGTTGTCTCCTTTTTAGAAATGTAGCCATGAAAAAGAAAGAAGAGTATTATGTTTCAATTATCTAATAAAACATTTCAAAATGTACACTCCAGAAGATGCTTATATACATTCGGGCTGGACCACGGAAGTGGCATACATATATATTTCCTCTTTAATCTGAGAGCCTGGAACTTTTAGGCTAAAAAAAAAAAAGGAACTATTTGTGCAGATATTGTAGCTCTTGTATTTATTTATTAAATAAAGCAATGATGATAGGCCGTTAATGAGCATGTAATCATCCGTTACAAGCCTAGTAGAGTAACAGCAGAGTGATCAGTGGAAATACGAAGTAGTACAGATTAATTCAGCAAGGACATTTCCTAAGGAAACAGTTATAAAGGAGACATAAACTATGAATTGCAATATAGTACAAATACCCCAAATCAGAAAGAAATGGTTATAGTTTTAAAACTATAATGTTTGGAATATGTCAAGGAAACATGGGTTACAGGTGGTCCCCCACTTACGACCTTTGACTCTAGAATTACGGCCATAAATCACAGTGGTCCTTACGCTAGGCACCCACACACTCTTGGCTCTGCCCGTTGTGGTGGTTACAAAGAGTATGGAGTGCCCCTAAGAGGTGGGGGAGGCCCTGGGTTGCTGAATGAATGGCCATAAGTGAGAGGTATCTGCACTTTCAATCAGTCTGGAATAGTTAATAAAGACTAAGAACTCGCTCATGCTCAAAGAATAAGAAATGCAATCTCCTCGGCGGAATCTTGAGTGATCAACTTGAACACTTACCTTTGTTTTCTCCCTCTCTGCTGTCGTGGTTGGTCATCTTGAGGGTACCTGAAGATGTCCTGAAAAATGGGTTCATACTTCTTAAAAATTACAGCAGAAACTGTAAAGTTTCTTTCTAATCTCGTGGTACGTTCTCTGAACTGGGAGGGTAGGTCTGCCATATCTTCCCATTTCTTCATCTTGTTAAAAAATTCTATCAAACTGAAGACATTGGCAATTATCAGAAAATTAAACTTAAGAAATGTTTACATTCCAAAACATTTTGCAGAACACCGATTCTAATTTATCCGTCTCCGCACGTCTATTACTTCTGGGGAACAAGAATAACGGTACAGATAGTCCTCGACTTCCAACAGATCAGTTAGTGACTGTTTGAAGTTACAACGGCACTGAAAAAAAGTGAGTTATGACAATTTTTCGCACTGACGACCGTTTGCAGCATCCCCGTGGTCATGTGATCAAAAGTCAGACGCTTGGCAACTGACTCATACTTATGACGGTTGCCGTGTCCCGGGACCATGTGATCCCCTTTTGTGACCTTCTGAGAAGCAAAGTCAATGGGGGAGCCAATGAATCACTGCAGTGATTCACTTAACAACGGTGGCAAGAAAGACCATAAAATGGGGCAAGATTCACTTAACAAAAGTCTCATTTAGCAACCGAAATATTGGGCTCAATTGCAGTCGTAAGTCGGGGACTATCTGTAGGCGATTAAGATGCTCTCTAACCATCAGGAAGTACGTGTTAAGGTATGACAAGATTTCACTAGTAACTACAGCAATTGACACGTTAAAATCAAAATATAATGTTCTGCAGCAGACTTTCTAAACTCGACAATCTCAGCCCTTCACAACGTTTTAGAAGAGAAGTTACCTTTGTCCTGAACAGCGCAGTATTCTTATTAAAGACACATAATTTCCTTCAACGGTCCCTCTGCTAACTGTTGGGACGGCTTTCCTGCAAGCCACATATAACGAACATGCTAACCAGTGCAAATCATTTCCCTGTTAATTGAAAACAGTAAAATAAGTTCACCCATCTCCGAAATCATACAAGTGCAAGAAATCTGTTCCTGGCTGGGAATTAGCTGTGTAAGCTAATTAGTTAGCGTTAGCTTAACTATTATGAACATTTTTTAAAAAAGGTTTGCTCAGTTTAAAACAATCAATTATCACGTTCTATTGGAAGAAGCAGCTGATCCAGGGAAACAAGTGCAGAAACTGGAGTAGGACTTGGGGAGCTCCACTTTACATATTCAGAAAGGATTTACAAGGCTCACATTCACATGTGTCTAGATTACTTTTGCAACCAGCAATCCAGTTTAAATCTATTCCAACAAAACTGATATAATAGCCACTAAATTTCTCTAAACTCTACAATTATATTTCAAAGGAAATATTTATCTCTTTGAATTTTATGATTGCTTAAGCATAGGCCTTTTTGGTTAAAATGTTTCTGCAGCATGTAGTGTGGTATTACTCTCTTCCCACTGAAAATGTCTACGCTGTATCAAAATAACTTCAGGTTCAGAATAATAAAAGTCTGGATTAATTAACAATGCACTAGGCTAAAAACAGTATACAGGTAGTCCTTGAGTTACGACCACAATTGAGCCCAAAATTTATGTTGCTAAGTGAAACATTTGTTAACTGAGTTTTGCCCCATTTTATGACTTTTCTTGTCACAGTTGTTAAGTGAATCATTGTGTTAGTTAAGTTAGTAACAAGGTTGTTAAGTCAATGGCTTCCCCATTGACTTTGCTTGTCAGAAAGTCACCAAAGGGGATCATGTGACCCCAGGACATTAAGACTGTCATAAATATGAACCAGTTGCTAAGCTTCTGAATTTTGATCACATGACCATGGGGATGCTGCCACGGTTGTAGGTGCAAAAAATGGTCCTAAACCACTTTTTTCAGTGACTTTGAACAGTCACTAAATGAACTGTTTTATGTCGAGGACTACCTGTATGTACTGTGAGACACAGACGGAGATTTCAAGGTTACGGAATGATAGGCCATGAACTCAGGCGGCCATTCCTCCTGGTAAATTGCAGTGGAAATTCAGCCAACTCAATTCAACTCAAAAAACAAAACATTCACATTAGTCTACTAAGAAATGTACGACTTTTAGCTTGTGGCCAAATATATAGATCCATTTACCAAATAATACTATGATTTAATCATGATACACATCCTGTCAGCCTAACCCAGCAAGCAGAGAGAAAAAAAAAACTCTTGCCTTTCATACAGATCCAGTATTTAATTAGGCAAATAACAGGCAAACAGCTGATTTCTGATCAGGTGCATCTTTTGGCAATTTAAAAAATTAAATACTGTATTTAAAATTACAGTATTCTGAACACATAACTGCAGACCATTTGCTTCCACAACTGAGTGCATGAACGATGTATAACTGATTTATAACTCTACCAAAGCTATTATGTAAGCTTTAAACTCTCAGGCTAAAATCCATCATTCTGATTACATGTTTTTTTATACATCCCTCCTTCTTTCAGCACTGAAGGCCTCTTATTTCGTTCATTACTCTTGTCTCTTCGATGCTTTACTGCTCTCTATCAGATGTATTGGAGGTACAATTTGCTAAAGGGAGCATTTATTTATTTCAATTTACAATAAATGGCATGATTAAGCAACATTCTCTGAGAACACAATAATAAACCTCATAAAAACAAACCAAACCCAGATGGATCAATCATCCCCTTGAGATGCAACACAACCAACTCCAGACATCCTGGAAGTTCTAGCCCCGCCTCAGTGCTAGCTAAACCAGCAGGGTGACTTTGGGCCAATCACCAGGAGACTGGGAGTTCTAGCCCCGCCTTAGCTATCAAAGCCAGTCGGGTATCTTTGGGCCAATCACCAGGAGACTGGGAGTTCTAGTCCCACCTCAGGCAGGAAAGCCAGCTGGTTGACTTTGGGCCAATCACCAGGAGACTGGGAGTTCTAGCCCCGCCTTAGACAGCAAAGCCAGCTGGAGAACTTTGGGCCAATCACCAGGAGACTGGGAGTTCTAGCCCCGCCTTAGACAGCAAAGGCAGCTGGAGAACTTCGGGCCAATCACTAGGAGTTCTAGCCCTGCCTTAGATAGCAAAGCCAGCTGGAGAACTTCGGGCCAATCACCAGGAGACTGGGAGTTCTAGCCCCGCCTCAGCTAGCAAAGCCAGCAGGGTGACTTTGGGCCAATCACCAAGAGACTGGGAGTTCTAGCCCCGCCTTAGACAGCAAAGCCAGCTGGAGAACTTTGGGCCAATCACCAGGAGACTGGGAGTTCTAGCCCCGCCTTAGATAGCAAAGCCAGCTGGAGAACTTCGGGCCAATCACCAGGAGACTGGGAGTTCTAGCCCCGCCTCAGCTAGCAAAGCCAGCAGGGTGACTTTGCTGCCCCCTGGCGGCGGCGGTCGGTCAGCCTACCGCGCAGGCCCGGCCCCGCCCCGCCCTTGGCCCCACCTCCAGGGTGTAGTTCCTCCTCATACTCTGGTAGCTGAGCCAGGCCTCGGCTCGGGCGCGCTCGTCCATGTTGAGGCTGCTGCACAGCTCCTCGTAGCGCTGCCGGGTGGCTCGCTCCGCCTCGGCCGCCACCGCCTCCTCTTCCGCCTCCTCGTCTTCCTCCTCGTCCTTTTTTTCCTCAGCGTCGCGGGCAGCGGGGACGGCCAAGGCCGGCGCCTCCGCCTCAGTTGCGGGAGAGGCCGCGGCGGCGGCGGCGGCGGCGGGAGCGCCCCCTCCGGCAGCGGCCTGGCCGCTCTCCTCGCCGCCCAGCATCGCCTCTGAGGGGAAAAGAAGGCGAGACAGGAGGATGGAGGGGAAGGGCTCGCGCGACCAGGCCCGCACTGCGCCTGCGCCGCGGCTTGTTTGTGTGCGTGGGGGCAGCTCGGTTCCTGCCTCCCTCGTCGTCCCCGCCGCCGGCCCCGCCCTCGCGGCGTCTCCCATTAGGTGGGAGGTGGGCCGTTCGAGCCAATCAGCGGAGTCCTGTGCAGTGGCGTTGGCTGTTCGGAGGCGGGGCGTGAGAGACTCCGGAGTCTCTTGTCGACCTTTTGGGTCTCGCGGGGAGTTCTGGGAGTTGAAGTCCACACGTCGTTCGAAACGCTGCTCAGTGTAGTTCAAGGATGCTTTGAAATAAAGCAGTTCTGCTTGCGCAGCGGGCTGGACTAGAAGGACCCTCAAGGTCCCTTCCAGCTGTTCTATTCTAAACACCTGGCTGCAAAACGTCATCGTGATTGAGTGTAGCCTGCAAGGTTGGCTCTTCCCTCACCTGCATCAAAAGCTGCTGGAATCTCAAGCCGTTGCAGAACAAGGCTAAATCCACCCCCAACCCCGTGGCTGAAACGATGCTATTATATTTAGGCATATTAAACGTTAAAAATATCTACTGATGTTGTCCTTTACCTGGTGTACTGCTTTAATACAAAGAATATTTTGCCCCTATGGCAGGGGTAGGCAACCTTGGCTCTTTTATGACTCGTGGACTTCAACTCCCAGAATTCCTGGCTCAGGAATTCTGGGAGTTGAAGTCTACGAGTCATAAAAGAGCCAAGGTTGCCTACCCCTGCCCTATGGGATGCAGTCATGTAACAGATGGTACAACTGCATATTTATTTAATTACAGGAGACTTGCATGTTACATCTGTCTCACCCTTCTTCTGAAATTATGCTCCAGGGTGGAAGTTTTGAATGAAAGGATCCTTGAGCAGCATCATGATGTCCACTGCAGACTAATTTAATACAAGTGGCAAAGCTGCTTTTCCTAGCATGCAACAGTCACTAAATGTTCTGTCTCCCAATGTCCCTAACTTGGGAATTTTTCATCCCCAGCGGATGTGGCCATTGGAAAGGGCAGTTATCCTGGGAGTTGTAAAATGTAGACATTACAGTAAAAAATTAGGTGTTGCCCATCTGATTTTCATGATCACACAATTATTTTCAATATATTTCTGGACGTTTTTAGCCAAGTGTTCCCTTTAGCTAAATCTCAAGTATGTAACTAGAAACCTGCAGAACATACACATTTTGAAGTGACTTGCCATGTATTTGCAAACATGATTTGTCAAGAACTTCCTCCAATAATTCATGAGTTGACCACATTTAATTCCTTCAAAATTAATGCAGAATTACCTCATTGTCAATTTTTGTTGTGTGACAACTAAGGTGTGTCGTCACAAAAAGGTATTTTCAATGTAGTGAGACCAACATCGTGGGTTGTCAAAGAATATGTTTAATAAAAAATAATTAAACTTCCATTTGCTCTATAGAACATCATAGAAAGTAATTCAATAAATTACAAATAACTTTTAAGACGCTTGTTCAACTACAAGAAAGCAAATTCAGACTACACAAAACACAACTGGCAAATATTGCAAAATGTTCAAGAAAAAAAACAAAACAGGACTAAGACGGATCATGAAGCCCAAAACAAGGAATAGGAATACAAGGCAATAACAACTAAAGTTATTTTAGTCACTACCAACATACACTTCTTCACCATCCTGGATGTTTGTACTGAAATTTCAGTATTAATGTAATTCTAATGAAGATTCTTACAATTCGTTGTGCAGCCACACTTGCATATTGTTTTAGCTGACAAGAGTACGTATTTCTCTTCTTTCAACTGATACTGATTTAAAAACAATCTTTACTTCATATTCAAATCTGTACCAGCCATACTGCTGAAACTGTAAAATTGCCTTATTATAGATAAAGATCACTAGACTGGTAAGTAAATTCACTTCACCATAATTAGGAAAATACTTTATTTCATAAATTTATTAAAAATTATGCTTAGGGTTTTCTTTTTTGGGGGGGCAGGTATGTCGGGGGGATGGTACAAAGTGGTATTGTTGAAATACTCATTGACTAAGTCAACAATTGTGTTTGGAAAACTTTGGCTATATTGTGGATACATACAAGAAACAAAAGTGCTATATTACAAAGGGCAAAATATTAAATATGTAGTAATCATGATGAAAAATTGCTACCCCTTTCCTCGTGACATGTTTTGACTATTGCTAAGACACTGTATGAAGGACCAGACAAGTACTATTCTGAGGGGGAAATACAATAACCAGCACAATTCAAATGATACTTTTATAATTGTGTAAATTACATGTAATACTGCCTTCTACCCAAGGGAGTTACGATTTTGCATGTACAAATTTTATTTTTATTGATAAAGATTTGGTAAAAAAAACAACACAGTCTTGTTTACTGTACAAGCAAGCAAATAGAACCATATCAAAATACAGCTTTTGTTAAATTATTCCCTTTTGAAGAGGTTTGTCATTGACTATACTGCCGGTACGTTTTATATCCATTCCATCAACATTTTTGCCTTTTTTGGACCTCAAGTGAGATTAACACAATCTCACACTTCATCTCAGTCAGTTCTACCATGTGATGTGAATCTATGATTCTACCATGTCAGAGTAATAGCAGCTTCAGCAAAAATAATAATAATAATAATATAATAAATCCTATCACACTTCAAATGTTAAGATTAATTCTACTAGTAAGATTCTAAGGATTTATATTAAAACAGACGCTTTTAAACACTGTTTATATCATGGTTCCATGGTATTCTTTCCTCACATTATAATTAAAAGTGCTTTAAAAGTTACAGGGCAACTCAGCATTATTAAAATTATCCAATATACCCTAAAACTTGATTTTGGGGGATATATATATATATATACACACACACACACACACACACAGATATATATCTGCATATATGTATGTCTGTGTGTGTGCATGTGTGTGTGTATATATATATATAAATAAATAATCTGTAAAAGTGAGAGATTTTTAAAATGTCTACATTTCCCCTTACCATTATGAACTAGTAACTACAAGAGGTTACATGACAAACACGAAATAGAAACCTGGACAAACAAAGCAAACAGTATAACTTTGCAAGGATCTAATCCTTATATGTGAAGTATGCAGTGTTTAGTGTGGCACTTCTGAGTTATTTCAACACGTGGATACAGCTCCTCAACAACATGAATGCCGTAGATGGAGCGAAACTTAAAATCAGTACCCATGGCTGCTGAAGACAGGAAAGGGATAATTTAAGTAAAAGCTTTCCCTTTGCTTATAGTAAAAAGAGTGCAACTGGTAATGATAACTTCCCTTGCCAAATTTAACACACACAGGATGCTTTTTAAAAAGCGAAGCATATAGGAAAACAAGCAGGAAAAACCAATGTAAACTTTCTAAACTAACTCAGCTGAGGTAACAAGTAGCCAATTTAATTGGCTGAATGGGAAACTTTTTTATTTCAAACACAGTTGTACCTGAACTGGGAACATCAACAGTGCATTATAACACCAGATCATTTCCATATAATTAAAGCAATGGATGGTGATGTAGATTCTACAGCTTTCATGACATTCATTAGCTGCCCAAATTATTGCTGAGTTTTGATCTGTAAATTATAAGTGTCAAGGAGGCTGTAAAACTATATTCAGATTAAATCAATAATGCGCATAAAGAACTGTGTTCACCGCAAATATATTAAATATACAGCTCTTGCTAAGCTTTCTTTTTAAAAAAATTACTCCCCCCCGCCCAAAATTATAATGCCTTTTCCTGTAATTTTTTGTGTTTGTTTTTACACCATTGTGTATTTGATAGTACACAGAATTTCAGGAACTAAGGAACCTCAAGAAATATTACATGCAAAATGTTTTTGTTTTTTTTTTGAAAGCAGTTTGCACTCCTAAACAATACTGAAATGTTCGGTCAGTAAATTACTGATGCACTCACGCAACACTGTGTTATTTACAACAAAATAATGAAAGAACAAATTGAAAACCAGTTTATAATTTTAAGTGCAGTCTGGGGGGGAAATCAGTCTTCATCGCTGGAGTCTGACCCCTCTGACGAAGAGGAGGAGGAGATAGTGTCACAGCCGGAAGAAGCGTCTGCTTTCTCCGAAGCTTCGTCTGTGCTGTTTCCGTTGCGAGAGCTCGGCTCCGTTTCCCCCTTGCCGCCGCCTTCATCTGCAACCCTGGAATTCTCTCCTTTTCCTCTCAGAGGCTTGGCGAAGCCTGTGCCATGATTTTCACTGTTCTGTACATCAAAAATATTCGACTGGGACAAAGCTGGGATGTGGAGATTAAGGCCTGGCGTGAGAAGCATTCCTGGGTAAAGTATATTGGACAACAGTAAAGGGTTAAGAGCTAAGGAGCTGGCCGTGGTGCTGGCCGCCGAGGATGTTGAAGGAGAACCCGATACGGAGTTTTCTCCGCCATTATGTGCATGTGGGCTTTCTGTCCTCTCTCTCTTTCCGTCCAGCTCTCTGGGGTCCTGTCCTTTCTTCTCCTCGGAAGCAGATTCAGTAGACTTGCTTAGGAGTCCTCGCATTCCTAGCAAATTTGGTAAACCAGCCATTCCTGAAAGCAACATGGGAAAGACAGCGGCCATGTTTTTCGCATCACCCGCCGTGTTCAGACCGGCAGAAATCCCCATTAAACCCGTGGTCACCTGTAACGACTGAAAATTTTGCAGGTTTTGCTGTAAGGCCTGCAGGGTTGAGA